AACTTTCTAAATTCCTCATCTGACTGAAAATAGTGAGGTCAGAAGTAGGGAGATTGTTATTGTTTATCTCTAATTTAGTTAATTTTTCAAGATTAGTGGGATAAATTATTTGAGTGAGGTAATTATTAGAGCAATCAAGTGTCTCTAACTGTTCACAATTACTCAAATTAAGAGTAGTGAGTTGGTTATTGAAGCAATAAATTGACTTTAATTTCTTACAATTATTTACATTTAACTTAGTGAGGCAGTTATAAGAGCAATTTAATATCTCTAAATTCGGAAAATCAGATAGGTCTAATTCTCCTTCCAAGCCTTTTTGATTTATATATAACTTTGTTATTTCGGCTCTGGTATATACACTCTCATCCCTTATTTGACAAGTTCCATCTTGGGGGTAGTTTTGTTGGAGATAAGTTTGAGCAGGTTGACAAGGGATTATTTCGGTTTCATATTTTCCTCCCCAATAAGAACCTCCTTTTATTTCTAATTTACTACTATCAACTGAGGTAGAGATAAATATATAACGCAAGTCTTTATACTTTAAACAATCCAGCACTCCCGCTAATTGTTGGTTGAGGTAGATACTTTTTGTTTCTTTATCAGGATAATTTTGTTCTAGTCAGTCTTGGGCTTGCATAATGATAATTTTACACCTTTTTCTAGATAACAACCTTGCCTTTAATAAATATTGAATTTTATTCTTATACTTCCTCTACTCATCCATTACCAAAATAAAAGTCATCAAAAGTTGTTTTTTGCTGAGAATGAACAGTTGTTGACTTAATCACCCGAGCAACTATGTTAATATCATTCACTACTTTAGTAAGAGAAGAAAGGTAAAATTTATCTAACTTACTGGTGCTAATGCCAACATGTTCTCCTATTTGTCATTGATTAAAAGGAAGTTTATTAGCACATTTAATATTGTTAGCAGTAGTATTAGGTTTACCTGAAGAATAGTGTAAAAAAAACTCAATGTAACCAGAATTAACCTTTTTATCAACTATTTGATAGATTTTGATGTCTTTGCCTTGAAGCATATTTATAAGTTAATTTTAAACTAAAATATTTGTTATATGCCACAAAATCATCTAATCACTAGATTATCAGAGAGAGAGAGAGAGAGAGAGAGCAGAATCTCCCTGAACTAGTTTTTTTGCTGCCTTTACCTCGGAAGGCACAACAAACCCTAGTTATCTCAAATAAAAATTTATCCTTTATTAAATAGATATGAGAATTGAAGGATTAACCGAGGGAATACAAAAACTGAAAGCCGATAACAAAAGATTATTGGAAGAAAATGCTACTCTAAAATATGAATTAAACTTACTCAAGGGAGTTGATTTTCCCATTTTAGCTGGCAAATTACAAAAGGCTTTATTTAAAGCTAAGTCTCGTAAAGATGATGTTAAAGATTTAATTTTTAAATTGGAGATTGCTAACAGGTCTATTCTCAATTTAGAAGAAGCTAGAAATCATATCGCAGAAGTCAAAAAAACTTTAGAAGCAAAAGTAACTAATTTAGCTGATGTTTTGGAGAGGGAAACTGCCAGCAAACAAGAGATAGAAACCAAACTGCAAGAACTGGGAGACACCCTAATCAAAAAAGAAAGCGAATATCAAGCCAATTTAAAAGTTAAAGAGGAAGAGTGAGCAAATCTCAATAAGCAATGAGAACAAATTAGCAGACTTTACGAGGAAAATAACGCAATAATTAAAAAGAGTAAGTTAGACCTCGACCAATTACGAAATGATTTAGCCGAGGAAAGAAAAAAGGGCGGGGAGAATAGTGATTTAGCGAAAAGTCTTCGTGAACAAATTGCCCAAAAAGATGCTGAAATAACCAAAGAACGAGCAAGTATTGATAAATTACATTCTGATATTCAAGCATTACAAACGGCTGATAGGGATAGAGAAGAAGCATTAAGGATGACAACTAACGATAAAGAAAAAACCGAAATACAAAAAGAAGAAATATTAAAAAGTGTCAAAAATCTAACTATTAAACTAAAAGAAATTGAAGGCTCATTGAGCCAAAAAGACACCGAGAGTAAGAAAAAGATTGAAGATTTAGAAACTGAACTAGCAAAAACAAAAGAGTGATTGCAAGACCAATCCAAACTTCTGACCTCGCTTAATAATTATCGAAGTAGTTGGATTTTGCCAATTAGTTCTTTCTTGCCTTCCACTAGCACAGAAACAACTTCTTGACATCCACTAAGAGATTTTATAAGGCAACACTCGCAACCTATTCGTGTTTCTACTAGCACAAGCATTTTATATAATCATAGTAGCGTGGTGAATGAAGAATTAGATTTTAGAAAACTTTTAGGAAAAGACGAAAAAACAGGTCAAGGAAACACCTCACCAATTTATAGTTTTCATTTTTATGATAAAAATAACTGGTGGGGAACAGCAGGAAGCACAAAAAAAATAATTTGAAGTGGTTCGCAAAGCACGGATAATCCGTGAAGATTAATAGTGGGAGAAGAACACAATATTTTTAAACACACTATTTTCATTGCTGGCGATAGATATGCCGACAGCAAAGAGGAATATCATTCAGGTAGAAAATATAAAAGAATTATTCCTCGTCTTGTCGAAAACAAATCTAATGGCACCATGGAACTTACCTTGGAATATTCTCATCAAATTCATCCTAACCAAAAATACTAAACTTTAGTGTCTTTCCCTCTTTTGTTTTCTCATCAAAAAGTAAATAATTCCTCCTACTAATGCTAATCCGCCAATTAGTAAAGCAATTACTCCACCACTGATACCTTTATTCTTGTTAGGATTATCTTCTGTCAAAGTTCCATACCTGCTCTGATAAGAACTTTCAGCACTTCGTAAAGTATTTTGTTGTAAGTTCCTTAGATAATTGCTTTGTAATCTTTCTTCATGAGTTAAATTAGTTTGGTTGGCTAGTCTAGTCTCTAATTCTCTGACCATTTCCCTTAAAAGCAAGACTTCATTTCTTAAACCTTGTTGTTCCCAATTAAAGTTAGTTTGTTGAGGATTAGCAGAGACTTCTAATTCAGGGGGGGAACATTTCTACTTGGGTTAGCCTTTGAGCTCGTTCTCATCTTAGTTTTCGATAAGTGACATGACAAAGAGGAGAACAAAAGGCTTTTTTAATTTCATAGTCTAGTAATCAACCCCTTTTCATATGAGGGAATTCTCTTTTTTTACAACGGGGGCAAGTTTGCTGATTGGCTTCTCTAAATTGTCTAGCACAATCACAATTAGTGCCAAATCAGACTGAGTTTTCGCGAGTGAAGTCAGTTTTGTGTTTAATGTATCTTTTTCTTTTGATAGTATAGGAAGTTTTGCTTTGGTGAATTAAGCAAGAGGCTCCACATTGTTCACAACATTCATCAGGATTGGTTTTTTTATCTTTGTGTTTATCAATAGGTTTGGGTATTTCTTGTTTACCCTGACAATTTTTTGAATGTTCAATTAGTAGTGGGATATACTTTTTATCTATTATGTTGTGAGAGTCACTAACTTTTTTTTCACATTTGTTACACTTGGTTCCTTCATCACCATTAGAAGAGGAAAAAGAACTAAATTTGTTGTAAACTCATCCAATTAGGCATTTATCATTGCAAAAATATTCTTCCTTGGTTGGATTCTGACATTGTAGGCATTTCTGCTCTCTCTCTCTCTCTCTGTGCTATCGCACTCCTTACACAATAATGCTACCTTATTTTTCTTTGCTCCACACTTACATACATCGTATTCTTCAGTTGGTTGTTTAGTTCGACAACAATCAGCATCAATAATGTTGTAAGCTTGTTGTCAATTTTGACCATCTCATCTCCATTTAGGTTCGGATGTTTTACCACAACGACAAGTTACCTTAGCATTAGAGTCATAATCAGCAGGTTTAAATAATTCTGATTCGCAATCTTTACAAGCAAATATTCCAGGTTTATCTGGTCTACTAACATATTCTGAAACTAATTTCTTCTTACAAAAAGAGCAACTAGCACAATCTCCACAATAGGCTTCACCAGCTATTTTGTAACAAATTTGCCCTAGTAAACTTAAGTCTTTTTTACATTTGCTACAGTAATTCATTATATATTTATTTTAATTTTACTCTTACCCAGTTATTGTTCAATGCTTATTCAATGACTAAATTGACTACTAAAAAATTATTAATAATAAGCAGTCAAAAAGTCATGGTAAAAAAAACAAGTTATTGTTCTGAATGTAGCACGAGCATTGCTGAAAAAGAAAAAATAATTAAAAGTTTGGAAAAAAAGGTAAAAAATATTGAATATTCAACAAAAAAAATGAGAGCGGGTAATATTAAATTAGAACAACTTAATAAAGAGTTAGAAAGTATTTTAAACAGTGATAAAAAACCTTGAGAAAAAAAACTAGCTATGTTCAACTTAGTAAAGAATTTTTCAATAGGAGAATCACCAGAAGAAAAGGAAAAGCATAACTACCTTCTAGAAAGCTATCTATTTACTGAATTTGCTAAACGAAGCATGGAAGCATATAAAAAGACAGAATCTAGGAAACATTCATAAATAAGGGAAATTATATACAAAATGTAAGTCTTGTGGAGTTTAATGCTTTAATTACTAACGAAAAGAGGAACAGAAGAGAAAAGCGTTGAAAATGAATTTACACTTTTATCGATGTTGATACAGAAAAAGAAGATTATTTTTACAGTAAAAAGAAAGCAAACTACACTCCTGACATAATAGGTAGGCTGAAACTTATCCAAGATGATAATGGTTCTAAGTTCTATCAAGACTTTATTCAAGATGAATTCAAACCTTTTAAATCACCGACTCAAATAGAAAAAGACATTAAAGAGAATGTTGAAAAATTAGTTAATAATTTTTCTAAGAAAATAGTAGATTTTGAACCACCACAATTTCTTGGAATCCTTGATACTTTACACCGAGAAGATGAAACATGAGACAAAGTTGCTACTACTCGTTTTGGAAAAACTAGTAGAACACTAAGGTATTGAAGAAAAAAACTAACCAGTCAAACTCTCATAATTCCCAAAAAGAAAGGTCGTAAACGAATAATGGAAGAAGATGCTTTCTTGCTTTTGCTTTTCTTGACCAATTCTCCTAAATACGACACTGAGACTCAGCAATGAAAATCTGACTACATTTTTGAAAAGACAGGTCATCGCTACAGTCAACAAGTTCTTTCTTATAACCTAAAGAAATACAGCGACTTTACTCGCAAAAGAGCAACTAAACGATACTCAGAACAAGATTTAGAAGAAGTTAGACAGTTCCTCAATAAAAACCATTGACTTTATTCTTTACCTAATTGCTTAGCCGTAGATGAATTTAGTGTTCACCCAGGAGAAGTTTCTAGTTTTGTTTGGTCGCGAAAAGGTTGCCCGAAAGCTGTTCCTCGCAAAGGTCGCAGTGCTAATTACACCTTAATTCTTTGTGTTCGCAATGTAAAAAAGAAAGCAGTAGTTAGTTATAGGTTGTTCGAGAATGAGAAGAAGAAAATTAAAGATGCGAAGACTGGGAAAGTGAGTATTAAAAAAGGAACTGATGCCATAGATTTTTATAACTTTCTGAAAAATATTGAATTACCCACTAATGAGCAGTATTATCTTTTGTTGGATAATTCTAAAATTCATAAAACTACTAAAGAGTTAGAGGAGCTAGGTTTAAGCATGGAAGAACTAGCGAGGCAGAAAAATATTACTCTTGTTTACTTGCCTAGATATACTCCTGAATTAAACCCAATTGAATTGTGTTTCAATACTGTTCGATATTTTACTAAGAATTTACCAACTGATAATGAAGGGGAGTTAGAAGAATCAATTGATAAAATTATAGATATGATTAACCAAAAGGATTTAACTAAGTATCTTCGCCATTGTCAAGAGTTTTTTTCTTTTGATGAAAGCGGAAATTAATTTTTTGTAGAGTAATATTTTTGTTCGGGACTAAGTTTTTTAGGCTTAGGGTAATAAAGTTCTAAATCTCGGATGTTCTCTATTCCCTTCTTCCCTCAGGGAGCAGTAAAAATATTTCTTAATTTTAAGAATTCTTGTAATTCAGCAAGTTTCTCAAACTTTAAACTTCATTTTTCATTTACTCGACCGCGTAAACTATACCGAATTCCTTTTTCATGAATACTGCCAATACCCACAATAAACCTGCCCTTGCTGTGTAATTCGCCAATAGGTTCACCACCTTTATTCACCAATCAGCAAGATTTGGATAGTTCTTTGATTAAAATGTAACGGTGAACTCCTTTATTAGTCTGAATGTAGCGAGTATCTTTTATCCGTTCCTTGGCTCAAATATCATCTAAATCTAGGACGATGAAGTAATAATCGCCTACTTTAGTGCCAGTTCGTAAAGAATATTCCTGATTCAGAGTTAGCAATTGTTCAATACCTCTATATTCCGCATAATATTTATTTCAGTTCTTCACCAAAGGTTTTTTATGCTTGGTCGGTAAAAGGATATGTTTTTTGGCTAATCCGCGCAAGTATTTGCTTTCGGTTTTAGTTAGTTTATTAATGTTGTTCATTTGGTTTAAAATCTATATGTAGTGGTCTCTTGTAATGATTACTAGGAGAAAAAGACTAAGAGAATTCCTACTCTACAAAGAAGCAAAATATAATTAGAGGAGTAAAAAATTAAAAACTCCCCTCCTCTCGGTGGTTTTTCTTTTTTTATCCTAGGAGAACCTTTAAAAACTTCCTAGGCTCCTTTGACCTCAGTTTGACCTCTGAGATAAGGCTCCTAGTGCCAGTGGCACACTGATAATTATCAGCCTCTCCCCTAATAATTGTCTTTGTTTCCATAATTTACGGTGGGTTGCATCCGACTTATTCTGTCAGCCAAATTGGTTATTAGTTTTACGCTCCTTTTTTTGCTTCGGAGGAGGTGGGTTTCCTTACCTATTACTAGGTGGGTCTTATAGTATCCGAATTTCTGTTGACCAAGCTGGTTAGGCTCTTTGACTTGTTATGGGGAAGTTAAACCTCTCGTCAAAAAAATTACTTCCCCATCAGAGTTAGCGGGTTTTTTCAATTGTTCTGAACCAGGGACAACGGAACAATTTTTTCTCACTAACTCTAATCGGAAAATAATCGGCGGATTTAGTAACTAACCGCTTTTCTTTTCGGCACTCAGCAGCCTTTTTCATTTTTTTCCACTCTATCTTCGGCCGTAAATTCAAACTTAATTTCCCGAGCAAAGTTAGGAACTATGAGGGGTAATTGGCTAAGTGGAATTAAAGGAAATTCCTTGCGGTAATAAACAGCTTCTCTATTCTGGAAAAACTTGGCAAAAACTTTGATTTTTTTCTCGTAAACGGTGAAAGTAATTCACTGGTTCTCACTTAAAACAAAACCCTGACCACCATAATTAGCGGGGAATTTATTTTCTTCGGAGATTTCGTATAGTCGGTCGGATTCGGCTTCTTTTATTTTTCATAGTCTATTGGTTAGGTAATCGTATTTAAATTTCATGATGGTTTAGCATTGTTTGGTTTGGTTTTCACAGTCTACTAAAATCTTGGTAAAGGTAATCAAAATCATTCTGAATGTATTTCTCAGTCGTTTGGACACTAGAATGTCCTAATAACTTTTGGATGGTTAATAATTGGGCTCCATTCTGATAGAGTAAAGTGGCAAAACTTCTTCTAAAAGTGTGGGGAGTAATATTTTTCTTAATTTCGGCTTTTTTGGTGCGGGCTTTTAGTAGTCAACGAATATATTCGGCTTGGATGGGATTACCGCGTAAATAAATAATCATTGGAGGTCGGGTTAAAATGGCTAATTAAAAAAGGAGGTAAGAGAATAAACCGCACTTTATTACCTTTTCCTAAAATTCTTAGTTGGTTGCCTTGTCAGTCCGAGTGCTTAATATTAATTAGTTCATTAATTCTTAAACCCGAATAAAGTAAGAAGTCTAATATTAAGTTATTCCGCTGATGAATGAGATGATTTTTCTCTACTTTGGCTTCTTTTAGTTTAGTTAATTCAACTTCATTAATCGTGCTAAAAAACTTTCTTTGGATACTAGGAATTAAGCGAGCAATTCTTTCTCATTCCACTTCTAACTTCTGAAATTTGACATAAGAATTGAGAGCATACTGCTGGACTTTCAGGCTAGTCGCTTCATACTTTTTCAGATTAGTGCGGAAGTATTCTTTTAAATTATCGGTGCTAAATTCATGGGGGAATTGGTTGAGAGTGTTTAAATATAATCTAATGGTGTTAGCAGATAAATTTTTGTCTTGTAAATATTCAGTATATTGAGGGATATTATGGTTATTAGTCATAATACTGGCTGGGGGTTGCTGGGCTTTTTGGCTGGCTCAGTAAGTAGTTCAGTTCATGATTTATAGTTCGATTTCAGTTTTGGGCTTGGGCTTTTGGCAGTGCTGACATAATTGCCCAGTGATTACTCGGCTTTTTCAGTGAAAAATGATTATTTCTCGTAAGGGTTTTAATTGTTTACATTTGGAACACTTAACTTTAATTAGTCAGAGTGAACAAGTGGCTAAGAGTAAACCGAGGATTATTCCGCAAAAAAGGGTGATTAATATAGTTGCCATAATTTAAAAATCAGTGGTCTTCCCTTCTGCTTCTTGCCGATAACTCCATTCCTCTAATTTGTCATTTAGTCCATTTTCACTGGTAATCACTGTTTTTACTTGGTCGATTTTAGTCATTAAATCACCGCAAGCATCCGAGTCTCAGGTTTCGGTATCATCCTCACTGGGTAATAATCCCTCGTTAATGGGTAAGATTTCTTTTAATTCCTTAATGTCAATTTCAATAGCTTTTTTTAGTTGTTGTTTAGTCATATTCTTAGGATTGGTTAAGTTGTTGGTATAAGTTCATTGGGTTTTTTGTCATTGTTTTTGCCTGATTTTATAGCAAGCATTTGCTGGATTAGCATGTTGGGTGTAATCACGACAAGCCCGTTCGCAGCCTCATTTGATTTTGGCATAATGTTTTCGGCAATAATATTCAGTGGTTAAGGGGTTGAGAGATTTGAAAATAAAACATTAGTCATTGGCCTTTTTCGCACAAGTTCAGGATCCGTGGCTAGTTCACTCAGTAGCTTGGCAGGACTTTTTTTT